CAAAAATGGAATGGAAAAAACTACCTCACGGTAACGATAAACCTATGTTTTGCACAACCGTTAATCAGACCGAACAGCCTGCATTCCGATATTCACAAAGCCACTTGGAGATCACCAGAAGCAGCACTACCAATAAGGGGTATTTGATAAATCTAGCTGGCCAAAACTATATTTACGCTGTAACTATTTCAGATGTAATTTTAATACCTCTATAATGGCTCTATGACCACCTACATGGGATATGTTCAGACTAAACACCAATTACCAGTACCTACACTACCAGTACCTACACCGTACAACAGCAGCATCAGCTGTAGAAATAATAATACTGTTGATTGTCGACCGAACCGATCCATCTTGCACAAACGTAATCTGCTCTGCTTACGCTTGCTTCGCTTGTAGTACTCCTAGTCCACAGACTGAGGTGTAACAAAATTTCGTGTACTTAGTTATGTTATTCCATATTGAGTTTTATACAATTATGGCGTCCAAAACTTCTTCTTACCCAATTAAAATTTAACCTGATGATTTAGTGCATTACCTTCTATGAAATTTTAAAAGATAGAAAAAAAACAACATTTCTGAGTTGATTTCTGTCATTTTCATATTTATTTAGGATAAGTATAATTGCAGCAATGAGCTAGAGATACCGCTTGTCTATTTCAATGTGTGCTATTGTTATTGGTTTTATTGGTTTACGAGATATCCACGAAGAATTAAAAGTGTTTACCCGTACAGTAAATAACCTTCAAACTGCGGTAAATAAAATAGCACGATTTTCATACAAGCTAGCCAACTTGGACATGTTGTACTTTTGTACTGTTATGACCAATTAAGCTGAAATTTTGGCAGAACCATTTTTTAAACAAACGAGATTATTATGACATACATAAAATTTAAAAATGTATAGTTGTGGTGCAGTTAAATATAAATTTAATCAAAATATCATAGAATTGAGCTTAAAAAAATGCCTCCAGCGTATTCGGAGGCAGTTAGCAGCAAGGGTTTTTTGTGGTAACAATAAGCAAAGAAAAATTGCATCAACTTCTACTGATTCACATCACCCGAATCCACCCGAATACAAAATAAATTTATATATTTTAGCATTTTGTGGTACTTATTCACAACACCGTTAATAACTCATGCTTGATTCTAAATTATATGCTCCCAATCACCTGCCTGAATGGTGTCTACCCTAGATGTCTTAAAAAAATATATCTTGAGTTGACTAGTGGAACAGAGTCCTCAACGACGCGACACAAAATTGCACGAAATCACACGACCAACTACAATGTCAACTTTGAACTGCTACAGCAAGCGAACAGAAATGAAAAAGAGTAAAACAAGTGTAGGGTATTGTTCACCTATTATCAACGTGTTCAATGCACTACTTCATTGATAGTTAGCTCTCTTTTGAAAAAAAAAGTGCAATGGAAGAGCAGCTTGGTGCAGCAACTCTTGAAGATAGCCATCTGATCCACCATAAGTGATTATGTAGTATAATTGTGTGGCAAGTACAATCATACTCTATACCCAGGGAAGTCGAGTAATATTGCAACTTGAAAAATTCCTAGACCGGACCGGGAATCGACTCCACCCTACAAACATTGGAAGCAGAATAATAGCTTATTCAGACAAAAATATGCTTTTTCAGCTAAAAATGGCTTATTTAGTCTTGAATCAGCACAAATTGTTTGATGGGCAGTCACATCCAGCATGGTCTTGCTTAGTAGTAATCCCTTCACCGACTGAGCTACAGCAATTGGCACTAGACATGGCCTCTCCGAACCAATGACATAACTGGTTTGACGGTGGAGGAGAAAAACGCAGCACCGGCAGAATGCCCATTGGCCAAGGCGACGATGGATCGTGTGTGTTGTCCAAGTTTCGGGGACACTCTCAAATCCTTTCGAATCTCCAAGAGGGTTACGGCAAGGTGATGGGCTTGCGTATTTTCTGTTCCCCGAAGAGCGAGGATAGACATTTACCGATGACATTTATTATCAAAAATGAATTCAGCATATCAAAATTTCCTTTACCTATCAATTTCATCGACATATGCCGACGGTGTCGGTGGTATAGTGGTAAGCGTGACTGCTTTCGCACCCCAGTAACTCTGGGTTCAATCCCAACCGAGGTAGTTAGGATTTTCCTGAGACGAATAAATCTCTGGTCACATCTTCCATCGGAAGGAAAATAAAGCCATTTGGTCCTGGCCCATGTTTTGATGGGTGCGATACCTACCAAGGTGTGGAAGCCAGCTCCCTGGCCAATCGATTGCCGTCAATGGATGGCAATCGATTTCCGCGGTGATTGGCACTAGAGAGGTTGAATTTATAAAGAGATGACGTGTCAAAATTGGAACAATCGATTATATGTCAAAGTCATAGGAAAAGTTATTCCAATCGCCTCTTTACCCAATTCAGTCTTTTTCATTTTTACATACCTTTATCAACAGTCACAAAAGAAGTGCAGCCTAATGAAGAGAAAACGTCCAACAAACGTCAGAAAACATCCTTTTTTCATCAAAAATCCTTAGATTTGTTGCTTTGAAAATTAGATCGAGGAAAGCTCCACCGAACGTGAAGTTTGTTTATATTAATTGATTTGACGTTTCGGAAGTTAGGGAGCTACAAGGTGTTTCAGAATGATAAAAACATGTCGTAGTAAAAATGAATGAAACTTTGGTCATTATTTTTGGAAACGGTGTAATTATTTTTATTAAAATAAATGTTCACGTAATTAACGTAATTAAAATTTAATGTCGTGTAATTAAAGTAATTTAAATCATTTAAATGTAATTAAAAATGAACCCGATCCTTTCCAAGGAACCATTTGCAAACAAACCATCCTAAAGTAAACTCCAAAGGAAACCCACAACACATGAATACATTCGAATGAATTAATTTATTCAAAAAATCTTCATACATCCAAATACTGCATATATATATATATATATGCCAAACCAGTCCCTATTTTCAATAGTAGTTTAACTACTAGGTACAGATATCAAACGATTCCATTCTCTAGATGCAACGAGTAAGCTGAAATGCCTCAAAATATAGATAATCTATGACACGGAGTTTTTTTTATCAGGTTAACGAAGTTAAGGAATTCCTGATTCAAGTGCATACCGAACATCAAGTTGGTGTACTTCACTTAGACGTTTGTGCCTGAGAACCACTGAGAGTTGTGGGGCAAATTGAAGAAGTTGTTTTATTGGTATCCCTTTATCAAATCGGAAGAATATAACTCTTACGAGTAGATGCTAGAAGGGCTTGCGCTTATTAGATTCTATTCATACGATCAATAGTTTACTTCTGATTACTAACAGCTCCCGATTTATTCGAGCTAAGGATTAATTTGCTTTTGTAAACAATAGCTTTAATTGTCGATTTCACACAATCTCGCAAACTTACAACGGAATCAAGCAGGAGAAGCATTCGTCAAGCAATTTTTGTACCTTTTTGTGTGAGATTGAGATTTATTTTGCTGTTGCTTCTTCTTCTTCTTATTCTTATTCTTCTTCTGCTTCTTATTCTCCTCATCCTCCTCCTTCTTTATCTTCTTTCCTTTATTTAACGTGCCAATCACCGCCGGACATCGATTGCCATCCATTGACGGCAATCGAATGTGCAGGAAGCCATCTTCCAAACCCGCGTAGTATATCGCACCCATTCATTAACACACATGGGCCGGGATCAACGGCTTTGCTTCCCTTCCGAAAGAAGACGTGACCAGAGATTTGTATGACCTCAGCTGGGAGTGAATCCAGACCCATTGGGGTGAGAAAGCAGTCACGCTTACCACGCCGGTAATTGAGTTTTCAAGTGAATGAAATGAGCGACTGCATTATTTGTTTACAAAAGCAGTTGCGGTTGCACCCTAGGTTGCTCCCGAATCTCGAATTACTATAGATCTAAATAAATAAAGAAATGATTGGATTGTTACAGGATCCAAGCTAGTTCCAGCCATTTCTCAGAAGTCCTCGAATGGTGGAGGAGCGGGTATGGCACACAACATGAAGTTTATAGTTTTTCCCGATCTCTATGAAAACATAAAATTAATAACAAGAACAAAATCGAATGCTTCGTTGCTTCTGCTACACTGCAAAGGCACCTTAAAGGCTCACATCACAGGGTGAAGTGTTTTTTGTTTTGACATATGCTGATGCACATCCGAAAAGGGCCCGTGATTTTTTGGTTTTTAAAAACCATTGCAATAACATAATGTAAGGTATTTTAACTAATCATGTTTATTACTACATGCGTAAAGTTAACGATTTACATAGCTGGAGATGCTTACGTCAAATATTAGACTTAAAGTGGACATTTTATACGATAGATGATGAGATGAAAGTAAATAGTTGATAGTTCCGTTGTAGCAGGGCAGTGTGAATATTGTGTATATAAAGTAGTCTTCCCCTATTAGGCTCACAACATACGTTGGAAGTAGATCTTTAGAAATTCTTAGATTCGTACTGCGTAGCACAAGATTTGCTTTAAATGCGAAACATTACCATGAAACCGTCATTACAGAACGATACCATTTATTGCTCACACGGTCGTATGCTAAAAGACTGAGTGAAACCTCTTTTGATTTTCCTCACATTCGAGAAGTTTTTCCTGGATAATCGAGGAAAGTTTTACGAACTTTTTGCAAAAATTGAGTCCAATCTAGCTCAGTCGGTCTCATCGTTCGTGCATCTCTGACAAACTCAGATAATTCATTTGCACCGCTATAGGGTAAACGCACCAATAGTGGAGGCACGTTAGTGCAATGTGTTCATATAGTGCCCTAAGCCACTAACGTGCCTCCACTATTGGTGCGTTTACCCTACTATTGTTTTGGTGAGCCCTTCATGTTCCGGTGAATCTCACTCTGACTACGATGATAGCATTTTCAGTTGCCCAAAATTGCAAACACTGTTACGATAATTCAATTCGAACCTTTTGTCCGTGCTGCTGAGTGCCAAATTGAAATACTCTAATCATTTTCAGCCTTTCGAAACAATGGTTCAACAGCAGGCTGTCCATAATACAGGCCGAACGAGCTCACAGTGGACTCTACACTTGCACAGTGGCCGACAAACAGACGACATCCGCACAAATCCAAGTGCTGAACGGTAGGTGAACTTGTATATATTAGTGTTATTTTCACGCACAGGATGTGCCTTCCCACTGCCCTAATGCGATTTTGTGATTCACCAAAACCTTTATCCAATAGGAGAGAGAGAGAGAAGAGGCACATGCTGTCCATTTCATGCACACACATATCTAGACTCCATGCATATGATTCACAGCACAGAGCCCGGTTGGGGTTTGCTAATGAAAATTTTATTTGAAAAATTTAGGTGAGACTCCAGCTGCGGTTCAACACAACGGAGCAGATAAAGAAAGGGCTATTTCGGCACTTATCTTCTATTGCGTCCTCTGCTGGATTCAGTTGCACATATCCTATACGTAATGTTGCCGTACGACCCGCATCCAGCTAGCGACAATATATCAATCACTCCGAAACGCGCTACCATCAAGATTAATTATTTCGCTGGCAGCAAGTCACTGTCTCTGATTCACTGATTTCTGACCGACAGAGAGACGGCCGTCGGGCATCAACATTCCTTCGCAGATGGTCATAATCAGCGATATTTTCGACAGGCATCCGATTAGGAAAGACTTTGGCAGGAATAATGAAGCGCCTCCGGTGATAAAGGGAAAAGAATGGAACCCAAAAGTCATGATTTATGTATCATTTTTCATCTCTAGTACAACTTGACCGATATCATCCTGAATAAGCGCTCGTTTAATCGTCGTTTTCAGCACCATTGTTATTCTATTGAACCTTCATCCTTTTCCATCTCTCCACCTCCCACCAGACTTCCTTCCGTTCGCTATTCCCTAACGAGAAATGCAAATGCGGGGCAACGACGACCATTCACTTTCGCACATTACAGTGACTAAAACCCAATCAAAAAATACAAAATCAAAATGTACATTATTTTCTAGGGATTGAATTTTAACGAATTGTTAAACGTTTATTAAGGATTATGTAAATACACGTAGTTGAACAAGATGTTTCGAGTCAGCAAACCAGACGCGAATGATCAGTTTAGGTGTCTGAAGGATTTTGGAGATAAGGGAGCATCATCAATTTCATCTGAACGAATGTTTGAAGCAGAATGGCAGACGAGCAAAACAAACAGTGTTAGAAGTAAATATATCTTCAAAGTAATTACTACCAACTCTATATATATATATACATATACCGAACACCCCACACAAACACACTTTGACAAAAGCCAACTGTATCTACTAAAATGAATGTATTATGTTCGAAATGAAAACAAAAAACAACAAACTGGATGAAAAATTGTACCATTAAACCAAGAAAATGAAGACAACACAAAATATACGAACAGAGAACTAAGACATCTCAACCAGCGTATATAATGAAGCGTAAAAATTGGTTTTTCATTCTTTACCGAACTCCCTTTCGCCTTTCTGACACAGATTGCCTCATCGAATCGGGCTGGTAGGTTGGTTATTTGTTGTTCTGATCTGAATCCAATTTTCTTCGAGCCTACTAGCTGCTAGGTACAGACTCAGTTTGCGTTCTTCTTACTCCTCAGTCGTACCTACATACAAGGGTGGTTGAAAGAAAAGGAAAAGTGTGGGAAATTGTGCAGCATTGGAGTAACTCAGTGACCGAGTCGAATTCGTTTCAAAAGTGCAAAGAGTGGGTTTACTCAGTGAGTGAGTAATATCTTTCTTGAATTTCCAGGAAAAAAATCTCGTCTACGAATATGAAAATAAACAGATATTTCACTCTGCCTATAAGAATACTCCTAGCCGGTTTCTTGGAAATGTCAGGAAAATTGTACTGACTTTTTGCAATTTTTTAGTTACTATCATCGGTCGTGTAGTCCAACAATTCTGGTGAGCTCAACCGTCGCAAATCTACCGTATAACGAGGTAACACTAATCGTTTTAGAAGTTTTAATTAAAACAGCAAAAAAAGGTTATCTTCCATTTAATTCCACTTAATTAATTTTGGTATCCATGACAGATACGTATTTCGACTACAATGTGCAGTCTTCATCAGTGTCATTCCCACTAAAGAACTTATCAAAATCTAACCCCCTTAAGTACTCATCCCCTAGGTATAAAAGTCAAGATCACAGGTATATAAATGAAACTACAATGTGTTGAATCGGAACCTACCTAACTAATTAAAACCAAAGATTTAAGTAAGCTAAAGGAGAAAAATCTATTTAACTCTCTAATAGTGGGAATGACACTGATGAAGACTGCACATTGTAGTCGAAATACGTATCTGTCATGGATACCAAAATTAATTAAGTGGAATTAAATGGAAGATAACCTTTTTTTTGCTGTTTTATTAAAGCATTCCGCTAACAACCCAATTTCATTACTTCATTATGATGGCTACCAAGCCTTTGGGATTTTCCTTATTAGAGAGTTAAATAGATTTTTCTCCTTTAGCTTACTTAAATCTTTGGTTTTAATTAGTTAGGTAGGTTCCGATTCAACACATTGTAGTTTCATTTATATACCTGTGATCTTGACTTTTATACCTAGGGGATGAGTACTTAAGGGGGTTAGATTTTGATAAGTTCTTTAGTGGGAATGACACTGATGAAGACTGCACATTGTAGTCGAAATACGTATCTGTCATGGATACCAAAATTAATTAAGTGGAATTAAATGGAAGATAACCTTTTTTTGCTGTTTTATTAAAGCATTCCGCTAACAACCCAATTTCATTACTTCATTATGATGGCTACCAAGCCTTTGGGATTTTCCTTATTAGAGAGTTAAATAGATTTTTCTCCTTTAGCTTACTTAAATCTTTGGTTTTAATTAGTTAGGTAGGTTCCGATTCAACACATTGTAGTTTCATTTATATACCTGTGATCTTGACTTTTATACCTAGGGGATGAGTACTTAAGGGGGTTAGATTTTGATAAGTTCTTTAGTGGGAATGACACTGATGAAGACTGCACATTGTAGTCGAAATACGTATCTGTCATGGATACCAAAATTAATTAAGTGGAATTAAATGGAAGATAACCTTTTTTTGCTGTTTTATTAAAGCATTCCGCTAACAACCCAATTTCATTACTTCATTATGATGGCTACCAAGCCTTTGGGATTTTCCTTATTAGAGAGTTAAATAGATTTTTCTCCTTTAGCTTACTTAAATCTTTGGTTTTAATTAGTTAGGTAGGTTCCGATTCAACACATTGTAGTTTCATTTATATACCTGTGATCTTGACTTTTATACCTAGGGGATGAGTACTTAAGGGGGTTAGATTTTGATAAGTTCTTTAGTGGGAATGACACTGATGAAGACTGCACATTGTAGTCGAAATACGTATCTGTCATGGATACCAAAATTAATTAAGTGGAATTAAATGGAAGATAACCTTTTTTTGCTGTTTTATTAAAGCATTCCGCTAACAACCCAATTTCATTACTTCATTATGATGGCTACCAAGCCTTTGGGATTTTCCTTATTAGAGAGTTAAATAGATTTTTCTCCTTTAGCTTACTTAAATCTTTGGTTTTAATTAGTTAGGTAGGTTCCGATTCAACACATTGTAGTTTCATTTATATACCTGTGATCTTGACTTTTATACCTAGGGGATGAGTACTTAAGGGGGTTAGATTTTGATAAGTTCTTTAGTGGGAATGACACTGATGAAGACTGCACATTGTAGTCGAAATACGTATCTGTCATGGATACCAAAATTAATTAAGTGGAATTAAATGGAAGATAACCTTTTTTTGCTGTTTTATTAAAGCATTCCGCTAACAACCCAATTTCATTACTTCATTAAGTTTTAATTTTTAATATATCTGTGTTTCTATGATATAGGAATTTACTCAATTTTCAATATTTCGGGCCATCTCATTGCATAGTGTAGTTAAGTTAGTTATTTAGTTTCTATTGTGCGATTTAGTTAGTTTTTTTTTCAATAGCAAAGAAACACACATGATGACACTTCACAGATCAACATAATAGATATACTGCGCAGTGGGTCGGATCAGCAATCTAGTTGGACAAAACTAGTATGTAACTCCTCGACATCTCCCGTAGCGATGTGCATGACAAATATCAGTTCAGTGGATATATTTGCAAACAGTTCTGTTATGATTCTTGTTAATGTATAGAGTTCATTCCTGGGACAAAATTGGCTTTGCGATTACGCTGAATAAAGTTGCGGAAGACATCTAAACAGACAAAATGTTGTTGACTTTGTAATACTACAGCAAAAAGGCTGACTGTCCAAACAGTTAATCAGGCCGGACGAATTTTTATTAATCTCAAGACTCGCACGTGATAATTCGATTCAATTAGTTTTTCTGCATACGTTTTATTTTTGAGTGATTCGTGTAGTGATATGCTTGGCCTCAATCGTACGTGAGCTATTGTTCAGTTGGTCTGATAAACCGTATGTTCGTATGAGCGCGGTGCATTTTTTTAAAGAATAGATTACGCGATAAACATTTAAGAAATGATGTCAAAATGAGGGTAAAAGTCCCCGCTTTCGAATGGTGAAAGTTTGCAGAATGCCAATAATTTGCCATCGTCAAAAATGTTGTGCCGGAAAGTGACCTTTCAAACAAATGTCGAAAGGATAGGTTTTATTTTGCACGGGCTTCGTAAACTTTAAAACGACCTTTTTCCGCAATCGAACTTCGGCAGCTTTACACTATTTTATAATAAACTTTTGCAATTGTAAAGTTATGAATCGGTCATTCGTAAGCATTTAATTTTTTTGTTGAAATAGCGTTATAATTTGCTATAACATTTATGTTAAATGTGCTTACCAATGCGTTACAAAATATATATGTTTCTATATAAACAAACGCTTAACTCATCGCACTACAATCAATAATGGTAATAAATTTAATATTTTACGAATGCTTCCATTAATACTTATGGTGCGGATTCAAAAACAATGAATTAGAATTGCACCAAGACACCCTGATTTGATCTATAAAATACTTGATAAAAAATCTAATTGTCCATATTTTCCGGAATTCTATAGTATGTATAAAAATTAGCAAAAGTTAAACTTTTCTCACGTACCAAGCCGCAACAAGCAAACACGAACATGCGCGATCGAACAATGGAACAAACTCACCAAATCTGTCCATGCTCGTTGAACATCGGATTTTATACATTATGAATTCAAATTGCACCACATTTACCGATTGATGATGAAATGTTAAAAAACCGACCAGGAACCTGTTCAACCCATATAAAACTTAAACATTCTGCATAATATACCATATTTACATCGCTCCTAGCGAATCCATTTTCTGCTTTCATCCGTATGCCGAAGCGAATCCCATGCCGTTTCAATGTGTTTGGACCAAATTAAAACGCTTATGCCAGAATTGGAATCAAGGAGCAGTGATAGATTTTAAACATTATCGCAATAATGTGTGACTCTTTATCAAATCCACCGGTAATCTTTGATAAAAATATTAATTTTTTTATCAAACCGGTTCGAAAAAGAGAGGTTATCAATTGCGGGTTGTGCTTAGTATGACAGAAATTAGATCTTAACCCTATAAGCCTGTATATTAGGGTGGATCACCGTGATATGGAAAAACGCAACCACCTCATCAAGCGAGAACAACCCTATTTTAATTCAATTTGGGGTCCCACACAACTATGCAAAATTAGGGGACGGCTGGTTGTAACCCGGCTTTCTGCATTGCGTTTGACATTAGTATGGAAATCAGTATGGGAAATCCTGCTTTTTACATTTTATCCCTAAAGATCACACTTTTACTTGACCCATGCAACTATTACAATATAGGCCAGAAAGTGCCTAACAGCTTTGCCGAAAGAAGTACGGTGCTAGAATAGCTCTACAAAACGTTATAACAGTTCAAATATTTATGGTTTGAATTAAATGCCAAAAAACACCTTGTCTGCCAACACTGGAGGTTTACCAATGGACGTCAAATTATAATCTGAAATAATTTCTGAGTTTCTTATCTTATCGATATGTATGTTCAGATGAATTGTATGTTCAGATGAATTATTCAGAAACAATTGCTCTATCTCATTTGCCTAGTTTTTTATTGCTTTATTCACAAAGTTTTCAGTCAGGGGTTGATACGCGTAGTTGTATAGGTGGGGACTCGGCCATCCCCTCACTCATATCAATGGAAGTACCGTTTTAAACTGAAATAACTTCTGAGTTTCGAATCAACAAGATAGAATTGGTATGTTCAGATTAATTATTCAAAAACATTTGCTCAATCTCATAACAGTACATAGTTAGAGAAGTGAGGAGCTTACTATACCAACCACCCCGCTCGCCGATATCATTTAAGTGAAGCTACAAATTGAAATAACTTCGGTGTTTCTCATCTTGCCGAGTTGGTATGTAATGATGTGTTAT